CCCCCCCCCCCGACTCCCTCCTCCTGTCAGGGAATTACAGAGCCAGAGGGTCCCCCCCGAGCCTCCTTTTCTCCAGGCTGAGCCCCCTGGCCCGGTGTGACTGGGGTGTCCCCTGTCCCTGGTATGCTGGGAGAAGTTTCTGCCGGTGCAATGACCAACAGCCTCACCCCAACCCCACGCGCTCCAGTCCCGCGGCACCGCCGTGGCTCTGTCTGCTCCCTGTTTTCCTAACATCCCCCTCTTGCTTTGGCGCAGGACGACACCGACAGCATCTGCTGCCAGGAGCAGATAAACCGCTCCATCTACTGGGCCGACGGCTTCGTGTTCGTGTACTCCATCACGGACTACGAGAGCTACCGCGTGCTGCGCCCGCTGCACCAGCACATCCGCAGGATCCACCCCAACGCCAACATCCCCCTGCTGCTCGTGGCCAACAAGGGCGACCTGCTGCGGGCCAGGCAGGTGTCCTCCAAGGAGGGGCTGCAGCTGGCCGGGGAGCTGGGGGGCACTTACCACGAGGTGTCGGCCCGGGAGAACTGCGAGGGTGTGCACGAGGCCTTCCAGCAGCTGTGCCAGGAGCTCAGCAGGATCATCGGCAGCTGCAACGGAGAGAAGCGCCGCGGCCTCCACCTCGTCCGGCCCAAGTCCCCCAACATGCAGGACCTGAAGAGACGCTTGAAACAGGCCCTGACCTCCAAAGGGAAATCTGCCACCGCGCTCTGAGGGAGCCACAGCAATTGTTTTCCCCAGAAAGGCGACGAGCTGTAACAATTTAGGTTGTGTGAGAGGCTCTTTCACTTGGTCTTCACATCTTCCTATAAAGTCTGAGCTGGTTCTGCAAAGGAACCTACAGAACTTACTGGGTCTGCAGAGGAACTCACAGAATTTGCTCTTTGAGACAAGAATTTGCAAACTGCGATTTTTAAAAATAGGTTTTGTTCCCAGTTTTTTCCATTTTGAAAGGGACATAGTCAAATGGTTTAATCTTCAAAAGTGGATTTCATTAATAAAAGTAATTAAATCCTGCTTCTCTTGGGGATGGTGGTGTTCCCAAACACAGGCAATGAACTGCAGCAGGGCACGAGGAGAACGACGTGAGCTGTATTGAGCAAGCAAAAGGTACCAGATTTGATTGGTCACAAGAGTGGAAAATAAAGGCAAAAAGTCAATGAAGAGCATAAATAGCAAAAAGTAGTAACTGAAAAGTTTTAAATGGCGGTTTAGAAAGTGTTCTTAGAAACTTAGGGAGAGATTTGTTCAAATGCAAGCTTCAGCCTTACAGGGTCTCTTCAAAGGGAGCTTTTATATCACTATTTTTCCAGGTTATTTTTCTTTAAAAGCATGTTGACTGTTTCTGAAAGTGATTATTTGGGCAAAATAGGTCCTTGGAGCAGCATTTTGTAGGCAGTTTCTCACGCTTCTCATTCTTTTGAAGGTTTCCTACATGCCAACAAGAGAGGGACAAATAGATCAGAGTGGTTTAAAATCTGCCCAAAACCAGACTGTATTGATCAAGAGCAAGGAGGTCACCCAAAACTACTGAACTTTTTTTTCCCAAGCTAGTTAGACTTCAAGTTCAAGATGCTGTTTTAAAGAAACAAGGCCTTCATGTGAAGTATGTTTAAATCATTAGTTTTGGGGGCTTTTTTGAAGACGAAAATGTTTTATGATGCCTGAAATTTTTGGCTTCGTGAATTCCTGATTTTGTTGTTTTCCTGAAGACCAGACCTCCCTGGGTACCTCACAGAGCATCCAGATCATATTAACACACACTTCAGTGGCAGTGCCTCAGTTGTGTCCCAGCATTCCAAGGATTTGAAGCTGTATCCCATGAGCTGCCCTGGTTTATGGGTCCAGTAACAACAACATGAACTTCCATAATTCTGTTCTCAGTGAGAGGGGTTGGACCAGGTAAAATTCATGATGCAACAACCCTTCCTTCAAACAGACCCATGTGAGCAACTCACAGGACCATGAAATGAAGCTCAATGATTTATACTCAGAGCCACAGAAGGGAACCCCCAGGTTTGATGGATATACAAAAACACTCCCAGCTGCAGTTTCAGCTGGAAATACTGATCTAAATCAACCTTCTACTCATCCTGAGCAGCACAAATGTAAATTGAATCTGATGAGGATTTGTGGAGCCCAGGACTTGAAAATGTATTTTATATTTGTTGTGTCCCCACATTAGACAACTCTGCTCACCTGGATTGCCTTTATCTAGAGCTCACTTTCTGGTTTATTTATTGTTCTCCACAGCTGGGCATTGAGAATGTCTTGTGTTCTGATTAATTTTAAATTCTTTTATTCCCACAAATGACCTGCACCTGTTTTTAAATTCTGTTTCAAGTGGTGGTAGGAGGAGAAAAGGAAAGTTCAGTCACCCAGATGGGGTCTCCAAGGATGTCAGGGGATTTCTACTTTGGCTAACGGTTAATTAACAGTCTAATGTTTGAGCAGTGTCATTAGTCATCACAGGCACTTCAGAATGGTATTTATGGCACAGAATTTCAATGTTTTAAGTTACTGATAGCACAGCTCAAATATTGAATCTAAAGATTCAATAGCTCAAATATTGAACCCAAAGATTCAATATCATGAAACAGAGCAGTTCGTCAGAGACATACAAACCGAAGTATTTTTCTATTGGAAAAATGATCACCAATTTTGAATGGCAATTAAGTATTTTGCCATCCCAGGGCTGTATAACAAGGGCTAAATGTGCTGAAGACAATTTGCTGGCATTTGTTTTCATAAAAGCCTAAGAGGTTTTGGTGCTCCAGCCTGTGAGATTTGTTTGTAACTCACTCCTTCAGCTCTGATCCTTTCTTATTTGGGAAGAAAGTTCATCCAATTTCAAACCTGTCAAAGTTTTATTTTCATTAGTGATTAATAAAACCATGCAAGGTCTTTCCTGAGTAGTGGATAAAATGGCTCCTATATGTCTCACATCTTTAAATATTCCTTGTTTACACTAGACTAAAATATATTGGTTTCCCTTCTTGCAATCTCAGACACCCTGCTTTGGAAGCACACACAAATATTCCTTACATAAGTAAGTATTCCCACATTCCTGTGGGGGAAAAATGCTACATTTTAGCTAAAGCAAAAAAATATTGAAACACTTAAGTCTTCTCTTAAATACTAACATGTGGCAAACATTTATTCTGCTACAGAAACTTCCGTGTTTCCTTTGTTTGACCAGCAATACAAATCCTGGAGTGGCTTTGACACTGGTTCTAAGCCAGGGTGTACCATCTCCAGAAGGCAATAAAGCTCAGTATTTATTTTGGGGGGCAGTACTTGAGCCCCAGAACATCCCTGTGCCACTGAAGGCAATGGCAGCAGGAAAAGCAGGGAGAAAGAATGCTATGGAATGAAGTGCCTAAAAATAATCATGTAAAAGATCAAAGTTTAGTCATGTAGAACCTGATCCTGAATTAGAAACTTCAGGCTGCCAGGGAAAAACATGTATTCACTGAAGGTTTAAATTAACCCGAGAGAGAGAGAAGGTACTTGACATAAAGTCAAAAGAGGAAAGGAAAAACAGATTTGGGAGTGTGGGGTGATTTTCAGATATCAAAGAAAATTCTCTTCTCAGTTACATTGATTCAGTCCAGACTAACCCCACTGGCAGCAAGAGCTGGAGAATTTCTTTTTTTAAATTTTTTTCCTCCATCCGTCATCATTCTCCTGAGCACTTCAAACCTTCAGCACCATCTGGTTTTCAAGATGCTTTACAGCTGGGTTTGCTTGGGCACAAAGCAGCCGAGTGACTTGCCCCAAGGTTACACAGCTGAGCAAGCACTTGAGAGGAGCTCAAACCCTGTGTCCTTTGTAATTAATTCTCAACCCTTTACAGCAGCTGCCAGGCCATGCACCTCCCTCCAGGTATGCACAGAGCGTTGTGTTACCCAAGGATGTAATTAAAAATTGGGAGAAGTGACGGAAACGACAGGCTATGGTAGGACCTGACTGAGCTGAAGGCTGGCACTGAGCAGTTACAGCAACCCTGGGAGTTATTGAGGGGATTTGGAAATGGTTATTTTCTGCCCTGTCGCTGACAGTTGCATTTCTCACACTTTTCCAGTGGTTCCCCACGGAAATACAGTGGGACCTGGGAGATGGGAAAGTCAGGCTCTATTCTTAACTTTTGCTGTGACTTGCCTGCTGCTCTTGGCCAGATCTCTTCACTGGAGTCACTGTGTCCGTAGGTGAGGGGAAGGGTATGGACACATCTGTCACACCCTCAGCACCCACAGGAGAGGGTCAGCCATGAGAAAGAAAGGAATTGCCCGCACTGCAGCAGGGAGAGACGAAATATTGACAGCAGAAGTCACATCTCACTTCTGCATTCCTTAAACACTGAGCTGTCTGGATCCCACTTTTACACTGAAGCAGAGGTTCAGAACAGAAAATTCAGACCCTGATTTCAGGGACCAGCTCAGACAGGAATGTTTGTATCCAGGGCACCTGGCTGCTTCTAGCATTGGTGTCAGGTGTACAAATGAAGAGGAAAGAGTGACTTCCTGAGGCATCAAAAGGAATCTGGGCTGTACCAGGAATCCGCTTGTTTTCCGAGGCGAACTGGAAGGCTGCCAGCTGATTGTTTCTGCTGGATTTCTCTCTGCCCCCTGGTAAGGTAGAAGATTTTGAGTGAGGGTCCCCCTGACCATGGCAGAGCCGTTTGCAGGGCCAGCACAGACCCTGGAGCAGCAGAACACAACGGCACACTTGCTAACTTTGAGCTGTTGGTGCATTGTCAGAGTGCTCTGAGCTGGGCCGGTCTCCTCTGGGGCCAGCACAGGAAAACCGTGTCATTAAAGTTACAAAAGATCTCCAGTTTCACTTCAGAAGCCTCAGTATCAGGGACAATGGGGCTAGAGAAGATGATCCAATCTATCAGTAGTGGAGACAAAGCAAGGCTCTTCCTTTGGTAATTCCCCCCACCTTGTTCTCACTGGCTCTGCCCTCTTTGTCCCTCTCCATTCATGCCTTTGTTCTCATTTAACTTAGCAACCAAAAACTTCCTCAATTCTTCTTCCTTTGATTTAGAAACAGATTTTTTGCTGGTTAGTTTCAAATTTATTTCCCAATATTTGAACTCCAAACATGGTTTGTAGAGAAAGAAAAGTGTCTACTTAGTCTTTTGACCTTATTTACGCAAAGCATTTTACAGCGCAGCTAAATGAAGTCAGTACAACTCTGTATTTAGACAAACTCTTGAATTCCTTGCCATTTCTCCCCAGTGCTCCCACTGGCTTAGCCCAATGTTTCCTTCCCTTGTTTTGTGCTTAATATTGAGCTCATTAATATGGTCATTGCTCACTTAAACCTGCTCAGTTCTTAAGTTTTGCTGCTCCCTCTGAAATCCCTTTGGTTCAGCCAAGCAGGTTCTCTTCTCTAAGCAGCTGTGCAAGTGGTAGATGAGCTCAGGACAGCTGGGGATTTTCTGCTTTGTCAGATTTTTGCCCATTATTGAAGATTTTAGAATAAACAGCAGCATGGAAAGCACAGCAGCAAACCCAGTTCTAGTCTCCCTTCATCTGTCAGCCTCCTTTGATGCAATAACTTCATCCATCATGAAGTGGACAAAGTTCATCCTAAATGATGGTGCTTCAGTTTTTCCTGCAGATGGAAAACCACCAAATATGAAGCAGAGAGATGAGCTGATGGGCTCTGTAAACCCTGGGACCCAATTCGTTCAGGAGCTGTCATACCAATCTCCTTTTCTTTAGAAGATACATTTTTTACATTTTCCTTCTTATCCAAATGGGTTTCAAGTCTCAGGCTCTGGATCTCATCACAGAGACACTTACAGTCTCCTCAGGCAGGTCAGGGGGAAGCTGCACATTTTCTGAAGATGATGCCTTGTGCTGTTATTATGGATGATTGTGGAGACTGTTCCTAAGGACGTTTTTCTTCTCTCTGGGCAGTCATGCAGAACACTCACAATCAGTAACCAGTCATTTTGAAAAGATATTAGGGGTTTTTTTGCTGAATCTGGAGACACACTGTACCTTCTCTGCTGGTTACAAAGCTCACCAGATAAGCAGAGGTTGGGCTTTTTCTGGGCTTTGAACTCTCACAAAGAGGGTTGAATTATGTCACTTTTGACTGGGATCCAGGTTTCCAGATGCTTGCAGGAGCCACCACTCCTCACAGTGTTCTGCACTGCATTTCACTTCAAAGCTCAGTATTTTCCTGTGCCATGAGGAAAAAGCGGAACTATTTTGGAATATCCCACTGAAGTGCAACAACCTCTTCTCTTGCCTGCCTCTCTTTGGTGAAGATCGTGGTTTTACATTTGCTGGGGATTGAAACTCATACTCGTGCTCTCTGAGCAAAGGGCTTTGACCAGATTGCCCAGAGAAGCTGTGGCTGCCCCAGCCCTGGAAGTGTCCAAGGCCAGGCTGGACGGGGCTTGGAGCAACCTGGGCTGGTGGGAGGTGTCCCTGCCCATGGCAGGGGGTGGGATGAGATGCTCTTTAATGTCCCTTCCAACCCAAACCAGTCTGGGGTTCTATGAGTTTGAATGAGCAAGAGTCTTTGTTTCATTTTGATTTCACTCTTTACCCAGCAGAACAAGGTACACTGTGCACACCTCAACAGCTCTGGGGCTGTCAGCAAAGAGCAGGGGGAGAAATAAAATCTTTAAATTATGTTGCTGTGTGCATTTGATTTTTGATAAGAGAGATTGAGCCTCCCTCAAGCCCTGGGAAAGGTAACAGGCTGGTGGCAGTGCTGGATATAGAGACAGTGGTGATGGCAGTTCTGCCTCAACAGTCTGTGCTCCCATCCCTCGGTCTGGGAATGCTGGGGGAGGTCAACACTTGTGAGAACCTCCCCAATGCACAGAAAATGGTTACTGGGAAACCATGGGCTCTCTGGGCCTGAATCAAAATGTTGTTTCTGTTGACTCCTCATCTGGAGCTGCTCTGCTGACATGGAAAAGCAGAGCCCAGGCCTTGGAGAGCCATGGGGTGTTTCCCATCTCCATCCTTCAGAGCAGTGGGGAAACCCCACGGCCTGAGCACCTCCTGGCCCACATGGGTCCCCCAGGGCAGAGTCACTCCTGCTCCTGCAGGGCTGCAGTGGGATGGCTGGTCTCAGTGCACATGCTGGGACAGCTCCAGCAGGGAATGGAGGGTTGGAGTCGCCACTCTCAGCCACCCTTTCAGCTGCCAAGACCACCTATGAAGTCCAGAGTCCAAGAGCCAGCCCCAAATAGCAAATATCTCTGAGCAGTGCTCATCAGTCAGTGCTGGAGAGCAGGAACTGGCCCTCAGGAGAGCCACGATCTGCCAAAAGAGCAGCTTTTAGAACCCAGAATACATGTTTGTGTCAGGGCTGTGAAGTGATACATTTTCTATGTAAGTGCTATTCTGCTGGTGTTATTTAAAGAAAGCAAGAGGTTTTGTTTGTAAATCCTGCCTGCTAAGCATTGAGTCCTCATTTTATCTATTTCTGTAGTTTTAATTTCAGCCATTTGCACTTATGAACCTCAAACTGGGGAGTGAAGTGAAACACATGGAGCCAGAGGTTCATCTCTTTGTACTTTTGGCAGTGCACATTTTCCCCACACTGCAAATATGTCTCAGCACTGGAAGACCCAAGAATTGGGAGTAGGGCTGAGGGCAAATGTTCAGTTTACAAAGCCCAGACACCCCTGAACCCCTGTAAGAGCCCCTGGTAAGACAAGGACATACATCCAAAAACCATCAATGCTCGCCACCTATTTCCATGTGGTTTGCCAGGAGTTTGGAGCCAAGGCATCACAGGATGAGGGGAGAAGGCTGTCAAAGGGTTAAATGTTTCCTGCCTTTAATCTGGAATCACGTAATGTGGAATGAATGTTTCAGCTCAAACTGTTTCCTCACTCTGACAGTTCCATGGTGTGAGGTCAAAGTGTGGGAGAGATGGGAGAGGGGGAGTGTGGATGGTGAGCTGGTGAAGCCAGAGGAGCACAGGGACACCCAGGGAAATGGGAAGGATGGTTTCCCAGGCACCTCAGCCCAGCTGGGATGGCCCTGGTGGAGCCATGGGCACAGGGTGTGTGGCTTTAAGGACTTCCTGCCTCTCCTCTCCCAGGAGTTCCTGCTCTGCTCTGGGCACAGTTCCCACGCTACAGGAGTTTCTCACAGTGTCCCTGCCCAGACACAAAGTCCCTCAGTCCTTCCTGCACCCTGCAAGCTCAGGAGCTGGGACTCCTTTGGGGGTACTCATTGTGTTTGTTTTTCCTTCCTGTGTGGATCTTTTCCTGTGCTCCCAGGTCTGTTCTGTTCCTCCAAAGGGCTCCACTCAGCACAGCCAACTTCAGTTTGCAACCTCATCAGATTTCCAATTCATTGGATTTTTCAGACCAACCTGATCTCACATCATTTCTTGCTCAAAGAAAGGGCTTGCTTTGGTTTCATTTGCAGGACCAAACCCTCATTCATGGCTCTCGCCATGTCCAAACATATTTCTACATGTCAGGGCATCACATTTATCTCTTTCCACGTAGTTTTCACCTTCTCTGCCATGGGCAAAATTTCCATCTGGGGAATTTTTGCTTATTTAATGTTTTGCCAATCAACATAAACTTCTAATCATTGATACAGGGATTCAGAAAAAAAGAGAGCATAAACAGTTACACAAACACTTAATTAAATGCATTATACCACTGCCTCTTAAGCCAGGCACAACAGCCTCGACCTCCCTGGCTTACTCAGTCCACCCTAATTCCTTGTTTCTCTCCCTAAAACACATCAGAGCAAGGGCACCACGTGCTCCTTTGGGGGCTGGTGTTTTGGCATGTGGTGGGGTGTCACAGGCACATGGCAGCACTAACTGAGAGCACATCAAGGCAATAAACCCTACAATTTATGCCCCACAGCCCCCTCCCAAGGGGCAGAGACCAGGACATCCCCCTCCCCAAAGGATGGCAGGAACACAGAGAGGTTTGAGAGCTCAGACTATTGCTGAGAATAGTAAATTCTGCATCTTCCCACCAAATTATAACAAATGTCTGAAGGGAATCAGCTGACAAATCCTCTTGCTCAACACCACTTGTCCCTAAGCTGCAGGAAAAAAACAAACTCCTTTCATGGCAGGAAATCCTCAGGCCAGTTTGTCACCAGGATTCAGAAAGATTTAAATAACAGAGCTGCTAACGCTGGATTTGGAGTGGTGAATGATACAGCCAGACAGGCTGGGCAGGGAGCATTTCTGGGGGCTCAGAGGTACAAATCCTATTTTTAGGGCAAACGTGGCTCCTAAAGCTTTCAGGATAAAGCTCCTTGAGGAGGGTTCTAGAAATCTTTTTAGGAGTTCTACGTTTCTTGTGAGTTAGGAAAAGGTCAAACTCCTGCCCACAGCTCCAAACATTTTATTTCTAAAACGGGCCATATGAAAGTTCCCTGGGTCAGACCCACCAGTTTTCAGCCTTTGAGCAGAACTTAAAGATCCTAGTTTGTGTCTCTTTATATTTGATATCTCTCTGTATTTTGGAACATCCTTTGTGGCATACTACCAGTTCCTCTGGCCCCATATCTTCACATTCCTTTTCTCTGGGGCTTGTTTTCCTGCCAGTGCCAGACCAAGCAATCCAAGGGAACAGGAGCACTCGGTGGTGCTCAGGTTGTCCCACCCTTGTGCTTCAGTTCCCATAGAATTCAAATATTTCCTTCCCCTGTGAAGTGTTGTGAGATCTATTGATCAGAGTCCCTGTGTGCAAGGCAGGTGTCCCTGTTTTCAATATTCAATTGCTGCTCTCCTGTGTGGAGAAGAGCTGATAGTTTGTTATTAATAGAGCAGGAAGTGGGGATTAGGCTTTGCTCTCTAATTACAAACAAAAGCTACAAGAGCTCTGTAGCTTCTCATTAAACCTAAGAATGAGCAACTGCTCTGAGGAAAGTGAATTCCAGAAGCAGAAACCCAGATTGATGTGTCTCAGGGAGCTGAATTAACACAGGGCCGGGCTTGGCAGCCTGCCTCCTCCTCACCTTGGGAGTGTTCTCCAAGGGGCAGGGCTGGGACAGAGCTGCTTTCGCACAGGCTTTCCTGTTGCAAATGTGCAGGCTGGGATTTTTTATTTTATATGTGCCTTAGCCACATTTTCAAGTGGTGCAAATTGCTGTAGCACCAGGAGAGTCATGTGGATCAAAAGAAATCCAGCTGCTGGCTTTTATTAAGTGAGGATTTACCCAGCCTGGAGATCTCCCCCAGCAGAAGCCATTCCTGAGGCTGAGAAGGCAGTTTCACACAGGCAGAAGAAACAGGGCACACATGTTCTCAAAGCCCAGATGCATCTGCAATGGCAGAGAGAGCCTTGCAGAGGAAGAAGCCTTGGAGTCTGCTGGCCATCTCCATGAAGTCACATGGAAAAAGTTTGGAGTTGTGTAAACAGAAGCTCTGCATGTTTGGTGCCCTCTGATTTGCTTTAAAGTCCTCGTGCATATTTTGCATTCACTTTCCAGGAATAGCCCAGTGAGATTCATCCTGGCACAGGAATTCCTAGTGACTGGGATTGATGGCTTTAGGATATCAAGTACCCTGTTGTGCAGCACCAGACCGATAGGATGGATGTGGGAGTCCTAATCCAGCTGTGGGCTACTGGACTGTCATTAAACAACTATGATATTACAGCAACAACCCAATAGATTATTTGCAGGTGCAGCAGTACCTTTCTGTGGTACAGAAGGTGATGAGCTACCCTTGGCCGTGCTGGTACATCCATATAGACCCAGAGGCAGCATAGCTCCTTTAGCAGAGAGCTGCATTCCAGTTAATAATCCCTATTTCACTGCAAAAAGGAGCCTTGTGCAAACACAGCCCTGCTGCTGCCAGTCTTGGGGCTGGTTTGGTCGACATTCCCTGAGGACTCGCTGCCCCACGCTCAGTGGTGTGAGCTGGACATGGCCTTGGAGCTCCACAGCTGGGAATTCACTCTGGAAATGCTCACACACTCACCCACCCAGCACAGAGACAATGCAGTTGGATTGTTTTCTAAGTGGTCATAATTAACAAAGCACAGCCCATACAATCACACAGCACTGCTCGACATCAGTGGAAAAACACACAGCAAAAGGAGTTACCTCCCCACCGCTTTTGAATGGCACAGTAAAGCAAATAATCTCCCCACAAGAATTCAAGGAGCAGAACAGAGCCTGAATTCATCAGCAGCCCCATCCCCTGCCCTCAGAGCTGCAGCAGTGGGCAGTGGATGCTCTGGGGTAGGAGCAGCCTCATGAGTGCTGCTCACTTGCTGTGCTGGGAGCTGGAGATGTGGCACGAGCAGTGTCCTGGGAACAGCTCAGCTCTCCAGAGCAGCACATTTGTCACAACACCAGTGGTGGCAGGAGCTGTGCCTGCCCACAAACCCAGGTCTAGCAAAGAGCTGTCACATCACAGGACTCCCTGTGCTGTCATTTAGCAGGGCATAAAAGCTACTAGGGAGTGACTGATGAAACCAGTCATGGAAAATTTAGACCATACTATTTAAATTCGGGTTTATGGTTATGTTCCTTTTTTGGTGTGTTTCCCTCTCTTTGCTTTACTGTTGTTTCTGATGCTGATGGCAGCTACACAAATATCCAGATCTCTGAGTGCTCTTCTGACTATCTATGCCTAATTTACCTCTCAGTGTTGCAGCAAGTCCAGATGCCCCAATAAAGATATCATCCCTACCTGTAAAGAAAAGAGCAGGAAATAAAATGAACTCTAAGGAGCCGCTTGGCTTAGTCTATTATGTGAGTTTTATGAAGTCCAAAAATTTTAAAGACATAAATTTAGTACCATCGTATTTCAAGCCATTATAGAGCAAAAAATAGAGAGCCTTGCCATTGTAAACCTGTTCTCCTATTACCAGTACTTCTGTATGCATCAGATTTTTCATTTGATTTCAATGGATCAGCTTGTTGAATAAATTTTTGCCTTGAAATTCTAACCTCTTTTAAGGAAGATACTTGAATCTCAGTTCTAAGAATGGAACAAAGGAGTTTGAACACTGTCTAGAGCTAGAGCTAGAGCTAGAGCTGTGGTTCCCAGATCACTGGGGGCTTACAAGGCCAGGAGAGAAGACCTGCAGTTGCCCTGCAGAACCACACTATCCTTTCCAAAATTCCCCCTGAACATGCTGGGCAGGTGCACGGCAGTCATGTGGTTATGGCTGACAGCTCTCTACAGCCCACAAACCTGGGCATTGGGAATCTGGTTAATATATTCTACAATAAATTATTATTCTCGATTCTGCACTTGTGCCTCATTGCTTTAACATCCTCTCCACACACTCCATGGAGGCAGTTCTGTGGCACTGAAAACTCAGGGCAGTGTTGTGCCACTTGTGAGTGGCAGCAGGGCTGTGGGAGGGGTGTTCTTTATTCCAGACTTCAGGGCCAACATATTCCACTCCTGAGGTCCCAAACCATGTGCTTTAGCTACCCCTACTCAGGCATCCCAATAAGCACCTGGGGATTTAAGGAGAGAGGATTCAGTTCACCAGATGTCCATGGACATGTCATTGCTCTGGGCTATGTGGACAGCAGGGTAGGATTTGGCAGAATATCAGCTGGGGCATCAGTAGTTAAACCACAGAAGACAAGGCTTGGTATAAGAATTTTACTGTAGATAGAACACTCTTTAAAAAAATAAATGGTAGCATAAAGGACCGAGCAGGATTGGGCTGGAATGGGCCATTTAATCACATTTCTGAAGAATCAGACCTGCAACCAACCTTGTAAAATATTTCTGGGAACGACCCTGGCACCAGCTGTCAGAACACGGAGTCAAAGTTGCTGATGCTGTGGAGCTGGGAGGCACCATTAACATCCAGGAGGATCAGAGTGGCCTCAGGAAGAATGGCATTCCTGTGGGGAATTGGACCATGGGAATAGGATGCAGGAACAAGTGCCTTGGGACTGAGAACAAGGATTTCTTCTCTAATCAGTCAGAAGCAGCAGAGGAAGAGAAAGGCCAAGGTGAGTTCCAGAAGCAGTGTGGATCTCAGTGGGCTGCAGCTGTGGAACAGGGAATGTGACCTGAGGATGTGCTGGGCAAAGGAATTCCAGCAAAAGCACTTCCAGGCTGCCTGAGCCCTTCTCTGAGCCCTCCCACAGCCCCAGCCACCCACAGAGGTGAGATGGAGGAGTCACTGAGGGCAGGAAACCTGTCTCACCAGAGGAAGCTGGAGCTCGGACTGTGTGTTTGTACCTCTGACCACCAAAGATCCATACAAGTGTGGGTTTCTATCCACATGGCAGAGCAGGCTGCACACGGAAATGTGAGCTTGGGGGTGGATGTTTGGGTAGGGTTACACACACAGTCCCCGTGCCCCCACTGCAGCCTCCATGCTCTTGTTCCTGCCCCACGAGCTGCTTGTTTGTCTCTGTGGTGCTGACACAAACATCCTGCACTCTCCTGGGAATGGAGGCAGAGAACCGAACCACCCAAAGAACAATGTGGCAACAGTAAAAAGGTCATTTTTCTAATTCAAGTCTCAGTCAAATACATCTGGACATCTTTGAAATCTAAGATTTGCTTGGTGGACTTGGAAATGTCGGCAAAATGGCATTTCCACTGTAGACCCAGGCCTTCTAAAGGTGCCCTCTTTGGGCTTGTGGAAAGTGTGCCCAGAAGAAACACAGCTACTTCCTACACACCCATTGCAGTGCTGAAGAGAATGTGTGAGCTAAGGAAAAACTCTGAGCAGGAATTACTGAAGAAAGGGCCCTGAACTCCCAGGAGTGTGGGAATGAGGAGCTGGTCTCTCTCCACAGGAGCAGGTGGAGTTCCAAGAAGCCTGGCCATGGCTGTGACCATGTCACAAGTGCTGGGCCCAGTGTCCACAAACCTGTAATGACACCTACTGGTAACCAAAGATGTTCCTGCTTACAAACTGTGAGCCTACTTGCTTCCAGACTCTAGAGATTTACTGTGTATCCCAGCTCTCCATCAGCAAGACTCCCCACAGTGGTTTTGTACATCCTGGTGCAGAAAGAGGAGCTCTGTTTAGCCACATTTTTAAACCACTCATTTATCATTTTTCTCTCCTGATCTGACTGAACTATCTGTGTAGGAGCCTGTCAGTGTGTGCCTGGTGTGTGTGGGCACTGGGAGCTCACACTGCCCTTGGTCAGGTCAGGGAAGTGTGCATGGATAGACGTTCCATGCACCACTCCTGTATTTCCACACTAATGGTTCTGGAAGGGACCCACAAAGATCATCAAGTCCAACCATCAGCCCTGCACAGGCTCATCCCCAAGAGTCACACCCTGTGCCCCAGAGGATCATCCAAACCCTCCTGGAGCTCTGGCAGCCTTGGGGCTGTGCCCACTGCCCTGGGGAGCCTGGTCAGTGCCCAACCAGCCTCTGGGGGAAGAACCTTTCCCTGAGATCCAACCTGACCCTGCCCTGACACAGCTCCAGCCATTCCCTGGGTGCTGTCCCTGGTCCCCCCAGAGCAGAGCTCAGTCCCTGCCCCTCCTCTGCCCCTGCCCAGGCAGCTGGAACTGCACTGAGGTCTCCCCTCAGTCTCCTCTGCTCCAGCTGAACAGAGCAGGACTTACCCTCCATCTGCAGCCCTTGGCACATCACACCTCATGATCTGCTCTCTGAAGGCCTTGGAGGTGACCCTCTGTATCTGCAGTTGTCTGTTGTAACATGTAGGAGATCACCCTGAGCTGGGGAAATGAAGCACCACCATTCCCACAGAACAGTGCTAATGCAGACAGCAAGGGACACCAGCTGTGTTTGATAGAAGTCTTGGCTTAGAACCTGGCACTGGCAAGTTCCAGAGCCAGGGAGAATACATTTCCCTCAAAAAAACCCTTGTTTTCTCACTTTAAAATGAAGACTTTGACCAAACCTCTGGAGGACTGAGCACTTCATGGAGCAGAGATGTGACCAGGCTGTGAAAAGCCTCAATCCTCAGCTTGGAGTTACCACTGGGCCTTCTCCTTTTGAAGATACAATAGGGAAAGGAAGGGAGGAATGGGGAGGGAGAAACTTCATCTCTTTGGAAGGCTGGCTGGGTTTTAACATGTAGCCTGTCAGCCTGCTGGAACACTGCCAGAATGGTTAATGCTTGGACAGAGTGCCATAAATTACAGGGAAAATACAGCAAAGCAATTAGACTCAGGAATCCCACTGGGGGTTTTCTTACTGAATTCCTTGGATTTGTCCCGAATTTTTAATTGTCTCTTCTGTCTTTTCCTGGGTGACACTACAGCCATGCATAAGTCATGAAAGTTCCCTGAGTTATGTCTAAGGCTGTACCACTTGGTTGAAATTATTCATCTGCATTAAAGACAACCCCAGGGAGAATGTTCTATACTTGTTAACAGGTAAAGAGTTGGATTGTCTGCTGGCACTCCTGAGGGGTGCACAGCCCAAATTAGTGTCAGGAGCTCTGTCTGCAGAGCACACAGAAATATGGCTGAAGGCTAGTTTTCCAACTTCTCTCTACAACTAGGAGAAATGAGCACTTGAAGGGCACACTTTGTCTTATCCTGGACATCTGGATATATCTCTGCCAGGGTGAGATGAATTGTGCCTCAGAGGAGAGCCTATTTTTCCCTAATATGGAGATACCATATATATTAACCTTATACAATAGATAGAAAAATCTTGTCTAAAAGATCCTATAAGGAGAGTCTGGACAAATCTCTGGTGTGGCAAATGCCTGACAAATATCTTGTGTGGACAGATGAACTCTCCCTTCATGTTACTAGAGGTTTTCTTGCATCAGCCTGAACTTCTACTGTGAAGGCATAATGAAAGGCCTTGTTAGTTCTTTTAATGAAGAGATTACACATTTTAAATTAAATTTTTTTCATCTGAAATAGGTTTGATATGATCAGATTAGCCCACATATTTTAAGGCTTACCTTTATCTCTTTGATTAACACAAGTGGGACAAATAACACCCCTAACGGTGGATGGTCCAAGGCTGGGCACCAAAGCCCCCAGGGGCTCTTTCAGTGGCACGAAACCCCTCAGCCAAGGCTGCACCAATGAGTTGCCACAGTAGCAGTGCCAGGGGTACAACTGCATCATATTTCTGGTTTTGTTTTTTTTTTTTCTATCAAATCACCCTGTATTTCAGAGTCTCTTGGTTTGAGACACCAGGGGCAAAGTCAGCTGGGGGTGTAACTTCCTCGAACTGCTCCCAAAGTTTTCCCTTGCTCTCAGCCCAGTGCTTCTGCAGCCCCCGAGGGGCAATCCCTGCCACCACAGAGAACCATCCCAAATTGCACAGGAGCAACAGGCACCTAAATCAGGGCATAAGTAGCACTTTGCTCATCCCAAACTCTGTGTGGTAAAATACCATGTAAAACACACTTTTTATGTGCCTCCAGGAAATCACTCAGCTTCCAAATGGACTGCTCTGTCCGTGGCTGTGATAGACAGAGCTAATACACTATTTACTTAATCTGGCAAATTTTGAGACTGCCCTTTAATTAGAGCTAAATACAGTCTGTTCTTGAATTCCTTCATTTATACTACTCAGTGTCCCCACTGATAGAACCAAGTGAAAACTCTGCTTGCAAATATGGTTTTCCTCCTGCATTTGGAGCCCATGACATTCCACAACACTTGGAGACCAAAATTCGAGGCTTTAGAGAACCAAGTCTTTGGCAGGAGTCACTTCTTGTGAACAGATTTTTGGCTCAGGATGACAAGTCTTTAGTGACAGTTCCTTATCACTAAATCCCACAGGCTATTATGGAATGAAAAGGAGTCATGAGGCTAAGCCAATGTCCTTTGGATCACTGCAAATCCGGGAAGCTGATCCAATTTGCGAGTCTGTTGTAAGAGAAGATGGATTACCTTTTTCCCCGCGTCACCTTCTCTTTAACAGTTGTCCATCCAGAGGTTTCTCTTTGGATCAGTTCCTGAAGCACTCAGGTAGGGAGGATGCCCAGTTCCCATCCCTGTGCACGTCTGGGATAACCAGGATATGGGAATCCCAGGACTTTACAGCTGGTACCAGCATTGTCACACACACAGAGGCTGCAGGGAAAATGAGTGTCTCTGATTGAACAATTCCCTGGAATGTGACAGACACCTCCAAAGGAACTCTGTGGAAAGTCTGATTAGAGGGAACAGAGCAACCTGAGGCACACCAGGATAAACAAGGAAAGGCTGGGAACTGATTCAGGAGAATCCAGGACTTCCCCTAGTGCAGCACATGCCTCCAACCCTTTCCAGCTGTTTTTTCCCCCAAGCCCCAAACCTGAGCATTATCTTGTGCTGTGCTGGAGACACAGGAGTGGTGTCCCTGGATGCTGCCATATCCAAGGATACACAGTTTCTGGACTTCCTCAGGATGCAAGACTTGACACAGAAAAACATAAATGCAAAAGTCCCTTTTCCTCCACCTTTGGAATTATTTCTACCTCTAGAAGGAAAGGTGAGATATATGGAATTCCACCAATAGAGCACTGCGGCACTTTACAGCCTTTTAGAGATGTGAGTAGCTACAGAAAATTTTGGAAAACAGAACCAAAGCTGCTGGATGACAGTATGCAATTAATCTGTTTTCATTTGCTACTTCAGGTTTTATTAATGTAACAGCAGAAAAATCAGGGGATCAGAGCCCAGTCAAACACTTCACACCAAGAAGATTCAGGATTTTTTCTCCAAAATCTTGTTATTTTCCAACACTCAATAGAAACCAAATGTCTCCATCAGGCTTAGCCCATGAGCCACCCACAAAACCCCAAGCATTGCCAAATATAAACTGGCCCAATTCTTTTTTTTTCTGTCAGCAAACAAAACACCATCAGCTTGTTTACACAGAGGAGTAACCAGCTTTGCAATTAGGGAAGGCAAAAATTCAGCCCTGATTTGCATTATTTGCCATGCAAAGGGAGCATTTATGGAGGCAGTAGAAAGATAGGAGTGGGCAGCTGTCTCCCAGGAACAACCCCCAGGTTAAATTGCATTGTTTGGTGATCTCTGGAGGGGAACCACAACAAAAGAGCAGGGCAGTGTGAAGGGCCAACCATCCCCATCTGACTGGGGAAGCTATTAGTGTAAATTAGGAACTGTTAGTCACTGCCAGGTGTGGGTGCAGGACCCTGTGATAATGAGCATCACTTCCAGTGAGGGCTTTTCTAAATCCATAAACTATTCCAAAGTAACTCCTTCCCCAACATGGAGCTGCATGTCATTGGCCCTGGTGCTACCCCTGGGAAAGGCACAGGGACTTATTGTCTTTATAAACTGGTACCTGCTGAAGGATCCTGTCCCAGAACACCTGGAGCACAGTGGAGGTGTTCCTGTCACAGGGAGTGGTGGTTGGAATTCCAGAAAGCCCCTATAAATGCAGGGGGAAACCCCTGTGACACTGAGAGAGCTGGGTGCTCCAGCAGAGGTACCTCAGCCAGCACGGGCAGTGGCAGCTCAGGGGCAGGGACTCTGCTTTGAGACGTTCCCAAATGCGAGGTTTAAACTGCGGGTGGGATCCAAGCACAGCTTTACCAAGCACAGCTTTACACTTGGCTCAAATGGGGGGTTAGAAGGGTTTCAGTTCTTTGCAGCCACCTGGTCACAAAGCCTGGGTTCTGTGGAGGTTTGTTCTGTGAATTTACATGTGGAATCAGGACCAATTTAAGACCTGACACCCAGCAAGGCTTTGGGCATCAGCACATCAAGGGCAAATTGCTATAGTTTGGAGAGATGCTTGTTCACCCAATTTTAAAAACATCCCACATGAAGTAAATCAACACAATGTAAAGAACATTTTGGTTTCCAAAGATGAGATCACATACCTTAACTCTTCTGTCTGTTATTCCCAGTGAGTAGGCAGAATTCTTGCAGTTGTGCTTTTCAACAACCTTCATATATTTAGTCAGAAATCTCTGTTTCTGGAATCTTTCTGTGTTGTCATGGAAATTATCACCATGTCCCTAAGACCAGGATAACAATTTTAAAACAAATTACGGTAGATAAGGAAGGAGAATATTTTGGTATAAGACAATACTTACAAGGGAAAAAAAAATCACACAACATTTTTGCCCCCTTAAAAGGGGGCAAAAGATTAGTCTCTAATCTCTGCCCATTCTTTATAACTAATCAAGTACGAAATCTCACAATGTGGGGGAGATGTTTTTTTGCAGGATTCAATATACTCTGTATCATCTGGGGAAGATTGGCCAGAACATCTCTGGCTGCTTCCAACCTCTCTTCCTAAACATCACACAGCAAAGTGTAAGAACAAACCATGCCAGAACATAACCACCTCGTTCACATTGCTGACCATTTTGATGTCTGAATCTTGTCTGTTAGAGACACTCTGTGCAATCACCAGGTGTCCAAACCTTTGTGAGGTTGTTCCTACATGAAAATCATCCCAGTGGTACCAACAGAGATTTTTAACAACAGAGGAAACCCTTACTAGGCAAGGAAAGGGATGTGGAAATGATTTTAGCAGAGGACAAAAGATGTTTTCCCCCTGTTGCTGTACCCTGAACTTTTCAGGGGTCTCCAGGGCATCTGGCAATCAAAGAAGATCTTGTAGGAGCCAAAAGGCTGCTCACAGTAAGAGTGAAGCCCAGGTACTAAGCAATCCATCTCTTTCTAAAACTTCAACCCTGCTGCCTCTCATGGCTACCTGGACTCACTGACTACAACGCTATAAAAGTGCAAAATTCCTGCTACTTTCCATTCAGGGCACAACTAATTGACCTACAAACAAAAATAGTTGTTAAGGAGCTGCCTAGAAAATTAAAAATATCTAAAATTATTCACAGAAACAGAATTGATACTTTTTGTATTTTTATAGCAAAAAAACAAAAGATGAAAATAAAACTTAAAAACTTTGTTTTGTTTTTTTTTCCCCTCTCAACAGACACTGTTGATTGTTTTGATTTTCAGACTCTTTGTGTCAGATGCAGGAGAAGAGGCTCCCAGGGAAGTCCCCATCTCTGGAGGGAATTAAAAGACATGTAGATGTGGCACCTGGGGACATGGGTTAGTGGTGGCCTTGGCAGTGCTGGACTCAATGATTTAGAGGGTCTTTTCCAACCTAAATTATTCTGTGATTCTATGTCTGAGCTGCTTTTATTCTAGTTCTTGGAAAACCTATAGAAAGACTCAAACCTATAAAAAGAATCAGATCCTAGATTTAAAAAAGCTCTTAGTAATGAATTGCAATTTTTTTCATTGTTGTTTTTCTAATATTGATACTCAAAACTGTCACTTACTTTAAGAATTTGGAGTTTCAAAATTTTATTTTCCTCACTGCTTTCTAATTAGCAAAAGCACTTCTTTCCCTTTTAAAATATTTTTTATAATCTTATAAAAGATTTGGCAAAGTGAGACAGTCCTAAAATAAGCCACAAGAAATCCCAAGTGCTTTGAGTTTCTCCTTCCAACACTTATGTGCTCAAGTAGCTTATGTGCTCAAGTAGCAATTCCAGCCTCTGACCAGGAGAGAGCAGGAGCACACAATGATTCGAGGATCCAGCCAAAAGCCACAGCGAGCTCCTGCTTAGAGAGCTAAAGCTGAGAAAAGGAGTAGGATGCATTTTAAGACCATCACTTGCTCGTGTGTGAGTATGAGAAAAGGGCTCCAAACCGTTCCAGCTGACATTAAAAAGGAAGCTCAGTGCTGAGGGACAAAACCTCCTCCTTAAAAACCAAACCAAGTCCCTTATTTTCTTCCTGTTGGACAGTAACTAATTTCAGTCCAATTATTTATTGCAAAAGAATAAAGAAACTTCCACATCTGAAAACCTCCCAGCAAAGTGTTTCGACACAGGACACCCAGCCCTGGCTCTGGTGCCAGGGCTGCTCTGTTGGGATTGGGATGGCTTTGAAGGGTGGAATGGCTCCTTAAAGGCCTGCACTGAGGGACCAGGCAAAGACAAACAAGCCTCAAAGGCACAGCACACCCCTGGACCCGATAGCATCCTTTAGCCACTTCAAAAGGGCCAGGCCTGTTTGATATTCACTTTTCCTCCTTGAATTTGGAAACATGTAAACAGGGAGAGCTGGGCCAGCAGCCCTGAGCCTGGAGCAGGATCGGCAGCGGGAAGTGGGAGGGTCCGTGGCACAGCTGGCCTGGCCTGGCTCTTGTCAGCCGGGAAGGGCTCTCTGGTGCTCCTGGAGATCAAACAGGAGATACAGCCCTGCTGAGAACACAGCACTCCATACATTGGGGCACCTCCTGGGCTGGCACACGGGCACCGGGTAGGATTTCATGCCAGACCTCCTTTGCTTGTTGCCGGGATTTTGTTGCAATTCCTGAGAATTGTCCAGCTCCTCTGGATGACCTCATTCCTGGAATTTGCTGTGCACAGGCTTCGCAATAAGGAGCTCACTTTAGACAGCCAAAGGAGACCCAAACCCTGGAACCCTAAAGGGTACAAATCCAGGAAGAAAGCAAAAATAACCCAGCGTTTATTATTTTGATGCTAGTGAGAATTTTATGAACCATCTCATAGCTGGAGGTGTGACTCATCATACTTAAAAGCTTGCGGATGTCAAACCTGTAATTATTTACTCCTGGAAAATCAAAGAGAAACACCAATTTTCATAAACCTCAAACTTCAGAACAGAAGCCAATCTCTGCTTGCACCAAGGGCCTCTTTTTGAAGTAAGTGATTTTAGAAAGGCTCTTTATGGAAATTCCTCAGAAACATCCTGTCCTGATGTTTTCTGGAGAGGGCAAACAGTAACCAAGCCCTCAGTCACACAGGTCAGAGTTCCTCAAGCACTGAGCTGCTCTGACCAAAATATGTGCTCAGCACAACATGTGACTAATTCCTCACATGCTCACTGAACCACCCTTGTCCATCCTCAGGTGTCACCACTTGTGTTGTTACTCTGATGGAAAATAAGAGGAAGAAAAAAGCACTTTGCCTGAGCTTCTGCGAGTTGATGTTTCCCCCCAGAGCTCTTCACTGAGAGGAATTTCTCATCACCTCTCCACAGCTCTCACCGACACTCCCAGCCTGCCTTCAAAGTACCTTTTTACAGGTCCCACAGAACTTTTGCAACAGTTCTTACTCTGCCAAACAAATTCCTGTTGCCCTTCTACCCTAGCCAATCAGATCCCACCTTCTTCCTTCTCACTTAAAACTGGGGTCACTTTGCCCATTTCCTGGTGCTGACATTGGTTGGGCTTGTGACCGTCCCACCACTGATACCAAAAAGACTCCTGGGACAAAAAGCTACGGGAAAAGCATCTTTGGTTAGTGAAGTTTTCTCCTTCCCCCAGTTTTTGAAATCGAGGTGAGATGATATTCCAGGCTCAGCTCTGAATGCAGCACTTGTGCCTCCAGGGCTGTGCTGCAGAGCAGAGGGACAGGAGCAGGAGATCTAAAGGCTCCGGTCCGTGTGCTCTGGGGCTCTCCCCTCTGCTCTGTCTGTGACAGGGACTCTCCCGGCTGACAGGCCGTGTCAGTCCGGAGCTCTGCGGGAGACTCCGCTGGCAATCCCTGGCAGTGAGCGCCTGGGCGGGATGGCCCGTGCACAGCCTTTGTTCGGCGCTTTGAGCGGCTTGGCAAGTCCCTTCCACGAAGAGCTGAGCTTTGCTCCTCCTCTGCTCCTTCTTTCTCGCACTTTCATGTTTTGTACTTCAGAGCTGCGCTGCTTTGCCCGCCAGGGTCAGTACAAGGTCATGACTTGTGACACGAGGTTAATGGAGTTGTTAAGTAACAACGTGAGTGTTTCCAATGGCATGAATATTCCACCCCACCCTCTCCCAGACACACACGCGCTGTCTCCCGGCTGCAGCCTCCGTGAATAACCTGGGAATGCAGGACCGATCATGTGAGTCCCCTGGACGCTGTGCCAGCAGGTACACGGATTTCAATCACCACATCCCCAGCAAAATAAGCTATTTAAAGCTAATTTAATACAGAGCATCCAAAGATTGCCAGTCATCCAAAAAAGTTGGGCAAATATTGTGCCTGTCCTTTGATAGCTGAGAATGAATGATAAATATTGGCTGTGCTGTTGACACTGCACTGTGGAACGGGAATGTGCAGGTTGTCCCAAATCCCTAAATTTGCTGAACATCTGCACCATTCATTTGCTTTAAGGGGGACTGCAAATCCTTAGGAAACAGCTTAGGTGGCTCCGGTGAGACTTTTGGGGATAGAGATGTAACAATTGTGGAATTGTATTTCAAGATTGCAAATTTTTGCAGTCCAAGCACTTTGATGTGAGGGCTGTTTTGGGGAGGATGAGGAGGAAGATGGAAATGAAAGAAGGTTTTAGGAAGTGTCAAGCCAAGAAGCACCATTTTTTTTTTCCTACCCTCTTCTGACGACCCCCTAACAAACGCGTTATTGGACCAATACCTTAACGGATATTTCCCATTTCTACTTGCTGTGCTTCAGGTGTACGTTCTCCATGCAGTTTGCAATTATCCAGCATAAATGACAGCGGGATACTGGATGTCAGCATCGTAACACGGTACAAGGCTCCTGTTGGAGTGTGAAAGGGACAGTAGTTATGGTTGGAGAGGAGAAGTCCGATGTCTGCTTTGCTAATGCCACAGCTCTGTGTCAGTTCTGAGAGGGGTCTCGGCAGAGCTATTTAACCCCCTCCCTTAATCTGACGGGAACCTTTTGATCTCAGCTGGATCCGACCACTCCGTTTACAAAGCACCGTTAAAGACAGATAAAGCCTCTTGGAAACAAATCATTCAGATCTGAAGACCCGAGAAAAGGAGCCCGATGATCTCAAGTCAAAAGTCTGCAACTTCACTAAGATTTTTAATCCAAGAAATAAGAAAGAGGCTGAGGTGAGCTATACTTATGTCTGGCTCTACATAGGAATCAGAGCAGCAAGGCAAAGCAACCCAAACTGCACAACCTCCCTCCCAGAAATGAAATCCAAGTCTATTAGTTTAACAGACTTCTCTACCTGCAGTGATCACACGGTTTCAGACTTGCAA